GCTAATTGTGATAGTTTATAGAATATTGGCTGTGTTCTAGTTAGTCACAACAAGAATACTATTATTATCTATCTTTAGAAAATAATAGTATTTATATTTTTATTAATAAATCTTTTAAAGACTCTTTCAAATATTATTATAAGCATGTGATCACTTTTATCATGTGCTTTTGTAATATTAAATTTAATACTTATCCTCATCTTAGAACTTCTATCAAAAAGGTAACAATATACTTAAATAATAATAATTCTTTTATACTTAAAAACTATTTAAATTATATTTATATTATAATTATTTTTATTTCTTTATTTTGATATTTATTTTTATTTATTTCTTTTATTATAATAGATTATATTCTGATTAATTACATATTTTTCTTATCTAAAAAATATAGATAATAAATATTTTTTACTTAAAATAAGTCAAATATATTTTATTTTGATTTATAAGCTTTTTATAAACTTTTTATATATAAAAGTTTTAATTATTTTTGATATATATTCTTTATTTATTTAATAATTAAAAAGATACTATTAGAAAATTTAGTTAGTATACTAAATTTATAGTTTTAGTTTAATTATTTTAGTTTTAAATATCTTTTTCTATTATATTTTCATAATTACATACTTTTTTATTTATTTTTATTTTTATCTTATATTAATATAATACTTATAAATATTAGTATTAAAAAATCTTTAAAATAATCATAATTCTCTTTATCTTTATAAATAATTTAGTCTTAGCTTTTAAAATTTATTATAAGCTATATTTCTAGTAAAATCTATTTTTATAAATATAATTTATAATAATAATTAAAATTTTAATTACATAAAATATTAAATTTTTATATTAAATTTTAACTAGTTTACTTAATAAAATTATAATAAAAATAAGTTTTATAATTAATTTATTAACTAAATTTTATTAATTTTATATTAATATAATAACTTATTAAAGAATTAAGAATTTTAAGCTTTAATAGATCTTATTTATGATTGAGAAAATACTATCTAATTATACTAATACAAATATAGCTATAAAATTATAATATATATCTGATTATATTAATTTATAAGAACAAATTATTCTGATATAGATAATAATAATATAAAAATATTAAAAATATTCTAATTATTAATCTTTCTTATTATATATATATTATTTATTTAACTGTATCTAATAAATTATTAATTAATTTCTATTAACAATTATTAAAAAAATTAAAAATGCTTAATTTTTTTTTGTTTATTATGATAAATATTGAAGTTATTTTTTTTAAATATAAAAGTTCTTTAATCTAATAAAAAAATACTTATTCTAATTTAAAATATTAATATAAGATGAAATTTTATATATAAAATTTTTGAAAGACTTCTTATTTTAAAATTTATAATTCAAATAATGTATAAAGTAATATAAATAAATAATAATACTAAAATATATAAAGATAATAATAACTTAATTATATTATTTATAATAAGAAATAAATGAAATAATATTAAGAAATTAATATCTATTTTTTATTTATTTATACAAGTTATAAATTTTTTAAGTAATATAAGTTATTTAATTATTTTAATTCTTTATTTAATAATTAAGAGTTTTTTTTTAGTATATAGAATATAATATTTAGTTATTAACCTATTATTCAAATTTGTGATACTATCTTAAAATTAATAGAAAATTGATGAAAAAATTCTCAAGATCTTGAACTTTTGACATTTTTAATAGATTCATACTTTAAATTACTTGTTTTTATTTCATCTTTATAAAAAGAATATGCATTATCTTTAATTTATAATTATATTAATTCATCATTAAAAGTTAAATTCTCTTTATTTGTAATCAACTCATCATCTAGATTATAATTTTTTGAAAAATTTGAAATGCAAGACATATATGAAACTAAGTCTGAATTAGATCTTTATATAAATATTTCTATTCTTTCTTTGACTGAAAAAAATGATTCAATTCTTTGATAAAAAGTTAATCATAATACTTTTTCTTAATTATTAAAAATTGCTCATTATTATTTATCTATTTCTACAAGTTTAGTTCTAGCTGAAAGATTATTTTCTAATACAGATAATATTCTTACTGAGAAATGTAATTATTTTGATTCAACTGTTATTTCAGATCTTTTATTTTTATAACAAAATTTAACTATTTTTATAATTATTTCTAAATAATTTTATTAACTTTATAATATAGTTTATTATTCAAAAATTAATAATATAATATGATCTTTATAATATATAATTTATTATTCAAAAATCAATGATGATTGATCTTTAACTAGTTCTTGAACTTTATCTATTATAATAGTTTTCAAAAAGAATGAAAAGAAAAGATTTTGTGTTGATTATAGAAAACTAAATATAATTACACAAAAAGATATACTAGTTTTATCACTTATCTTGAGATTGATCTCAGTATTATTTTTTGGGAGTTTGGTAATCTTACCATCAATTTTTTCTATTAGATCTATATTTTTTCTATGTACAAAATATTTACTGAGATTTTTATTCATAAAATATAGATTTTTCTCTATCATTATGAATAAATTTTATTGATATCTTATCTTTCTGATTATTATATTCAAAAGTTCTTTCCTAATATTAATTTTACATGTTTTTTGTTATAATATGCTATTTTTGTTAAATAATTAAAAAATTACTATATATGGAAATATCTATTAACGGACTGGTTAACCGTAGTTAACCACAAAAAATTATAAGGTTAACCGGTTAAGAATTTTTAACCGGATCACTATCGGTAATACTGGTCATTTTTTTCTTTCAAAGATGAAAACTGGCTTAATGAACTTTTATTTCATTAATAATAGAGATATTTGAGATGGAACAAAATATATTTATAGTTAAAAAGTGAATTTAGTCAATTATTGAGCCGATGCTGGTTTAAGTTCATTAACTAATTTTTCTATTTCATCACGGTTTATACCAACAAATTCTTTAGAAACCTTTCCATCTATGTAGGTTTTAAAAGTGGGCATTGCGCTAATTCCTTCGTTCTTACAAACGTTCTATATTAATCATGTAAAGATGTTAATATCGAAAGTAATTGAATAAAAATTAAATTCAGGTATAAAATAAATTAAATATTAACATACTGGCAACTTGTCAACATCGACTTTGAGGAACGTGAGATCTGGATTGCTGTTTGCGAGTTCTTCATAAAATGGTGCGATGACTTTGCATGGTCCACACCACTCTGCATAAAAATCAACTATAACCTTTTTTTTTTATCGAATATAAAAATAAAATTAGGATAATAACTCAACATCAATTAATTAAAACGTTGTTAACAACTTACCCTTGTATTAGCTTGTAATTGTTGGTAAAACTCTTCATGTTTGTCAACGTATACTAACGCCATGTCTGGAAATCGTTTATATGGTGAAGAGTTGAGTTGTTGAGAAAAGCGGCGGGAACAACCCAATTTTATAGAAAAAAAAAAGCTTAATAATGTAATTACGTCATTTAACGTCTTGTGCGGAAATCTTTTGAAAATCATTATCGAAAATAGACCAAACTATCATATTTGTCATCCGAAAATGCTTTTTGGGGTCTTTCAATATATTCTACTTGATTTAGTGATTCAATAAAAATTACTTAATATAGAGCTTATTTATAAGCTACATATTTGGTTTGTAAAGGTACGAGATGAAAAATCCTTGTTATCCGAGAAAAATCACACGGCTTTATCATCATTCAATAGTTCATCTTTAGAAAATGAATCTCGACAATTCTTTCAGAAGACTACGCATAATAAAAACTAGTACAAAGACAAAAGCAATCTATATTAGAACAGTCTCAGGTCTTTCACTATTAATTATTTCATAGTATAATGCATTCGATTGTTATTTTAAACGCCAACAATAAATATACATTTCGAGTTACTAAATACTAATGACTAATGTTTTGTGACAAGAAATAGATGCTCTATTACGTACCTGAAAATCACATTAAAATCCATTCAAGTAACCTGTTGTTGTCCTCTACTATGCATCGGAGAAGATAATATTAAATTTTTATGAAGATCTTTTAATGTTTGTAGCATTGAATTGCGATAAGGAAAAAAGGAAATAAAATAATTGAGAGGTGAGACCTGTATGATGAACGAATTAATGGGATATTGGTTAGAATAACTAAATAGATTACTAAAAATCTAAGTACAACACCACTAACTAACCCATTTTGCCAAAAGAGGTGGCCAAATTCGTGTTTTCTCCTCTATATTATCGGATTCCATTAAATAAGCGGGAGCATACTTTTGAAATATCTTACTTCCAAGCACCGAACTATTATTATATTTCATTTATTGAAAAATTGATCAATAAGGATTGATTGCAACAAAGTCATGTTATTGTATGAAGAAGCTTACCCAAATAATAAACTCGCTAATTGAAACCAATTTTCACCAGTTTTAATGGTAGCATAATACACTAATTGATCAACGATGTAGAAATAATGGAATTCAAGATCTACCATTTTTCTTTTTAATTCCTAAAATATTTTAGTTTTATAGTTAGTTATCCATGAATTTTAAATAATCTTAAAACAAATGACTATTATCGTATCAAGATACCTACCTTATCGTCGGTCGTTAGCAATAGTTCAAACATGGGTGTATTACTGTTAAAGTCGCTAAGGAAGCAAACAGTATGATTTTCCAGCATACCAAAGGCATATGAGCTTCGATAACCAGAAGCGAGCTATATGAACATACAAATAAAATTAGATAATAATTGATTGATAACAATTGCTAATAAATCTAATCCAACCTGAAAATTCGAGATATGTCCAAAACTTATTCGTAATGGAATCCAATAATTTTCAGAAGGTCGATTTCTATTATATACTGTGATATTTTCCTGTATGTATTTTTCCTAGGTCATAAAATTATATAAAATATGTCAATTAAAATTGGTTGTTATGCCTATTTCGAATCAAAATATTTATGTTACCCTTCGAACATTTTCCGCATTTTTTATTAGCGCAATACACTTAGGTCGAACTTTCACAACGTGATACGAGTTTGGTAGTAATTTTTTATTATTATCCGGAATCTCCAATGTGAAATACATTGTATCATTGACTATTTCATATTCCAATGGAATATCGAGTAAATTATTGAGTCGAATTTCTCGATAGTTTTGATCGAATTCAATTGTCCAATCTTCCTCAGACTCGGAACGATAGATTCTTCCTAAACATATCAGAAAAAATTATATAGCAAATTTTTAATTTATTATTGAATAATGAACAATGGTAAAATTACCCATCAATGCCTCCGACTCATTATATTGAACGCGAAGAGAAGGCATCCGACACTCTGCTTTAAGCATGACAGATTGTTGATAATCTTTGACAAGTCTACAGTTTACATATATTTCTATATTTTTTTCTTCTATTTTGTCCGGATCTCTTTTTTCACCACGATCAATGGCAGCTTGAATTTGGATAGAAGGTAAAGGACGAAACCGAATATATACACGAACATTGCTCTCCGGATCTACAGTCAGAGTTTTGAAAAGTTTGGCCGACATCCGAGAAGTAGAAAATACAATTTCGGATAGATCATCACTGTCAATGTTTGTTTGAAACTATAATAAAAATAGATTAGCTGATATAATGAATTAACCATGAATATTGATTTGGCTTCAAATTACATACCGTGAATTCTAAAGGAACTGACTCCCGATTGTATAACACCATACTACGTGCTGAATACTCGGATCCATAAAACAAATTGAGCATTTCTATACACGTTTGGCTAGTGTCAACGCCATTAACATAAATATCAAACACATGATTATTCTCCAAGGGAGTATTTGCGCCACGCCTTAGATTCTGTCGTGCAACAACCTTATTTTAAAAATGAGAAATTTGTAAATTATGAATTAAAGTTACTTTTGCATCAATAGAAATGTAATTATGAATTACCTCCATCATAACACGTATTGTTTTTGTGTCTGAAGGATTATTCAGATTCTCAACAATTAAATATGTCGAATAAACATTTCTAATACTAGTAGAGAAGCTTAAAGTAATAGTGTGACCCCCTCCTGATGGCTCCAAAGTTCCTTCCGTACGACTTATTTTAAGCCATGATTGATCATTTGCAAAAACAGTTTTAATACGATATGATATTTGTTCGAAAGAAGAATTTTCTAATATTAGTTTTTTCACTATAGTAGGAGAACCTAAATCCTGCTGTCCAAGATCTAGTTCGTATCTGCCACCGACGATCACTGCTTCTCCAATTCGCTTGCATCCACGTAAAGTGATGAAAGGAAGGCCAGATAGAGACGGCTGGTAGGCTTTTTCTTGCTCAAGTGATGACGCTAAAGGCTTTTGTATGATCTCTGGCAGGATTGCCATAATGGATTCAGCATCTTCGGCTTTCGGATGATTCTTTCCTTTAATGCGGTGATCGCGCGCCTCGGATTCTATACTTACGAGAACCGTGTATCGCTGGCTTGACAAAGACTGTAAATCATCAATATGAAGTTTAAAATCGTCTGATACTGGAACTGAATAGCCCTTTAACTCAATATTTAAAGTGGCTTGTTGCCCCGCGTCCACCACACCACATCCTTGATCATCTAAAGGAGAGACTGAGATTATTTCATGAGCTGAAACCTCGATTGGACCTTCTATCGTAACTTTGAATAATAGTGGAATTTGGGCGCATAAATTTTTCATTATTAAAGAATCAGAATGTATTTGCCATTCGTCCGAACAGCTTGTTTTATTGCTGTATTCGGTAACAGGTTTTCTTCGTTTACGACTAGGCGATGCTCGATGCTCATTCTCATCACTATCTTGAGCGTCATTAAGTTCGTTATCAGAAATATATACCGCAGTCTTGAAAGTAATCCGATTTTTTGATACAGTAAAAGTTGAAGATTCTGTAATAACTCCGCGTATTGGTATAGTCTTTGTAATTTGCACGCCTTCACTTTCTTCAAGATTTGATTGTTTAGTTGCAATCCAAAGTTTGCCAAAAGTAATTCCATCAGGATTTATAAGATAATATGAATCACGGGGTAATCGCTGCGATTCATTAGGATAAGCTCTTACTCTAACTTCTATCGAATTATGTGCATTAATGGTCACATGACCAAGTAAAGGTGAGTTCGAAAATCGTGACAAGACCTCTACTCTGAAAAAAGGTGAAACATCTGGACTAAGTTCTGCTCCAATCTCAAATCGAATATCTTCATCTCCTGAATTAAGAATAGTAAACCAAGTGTCACATGGTAGATCTAACCGAGGAATCGGATGATATAATGGAGGCAGAACAAGTTCTCCATTGACAAGTCGTTCAAACATCACTTCGAATAAAGTTAGCGTGGCTTCAATATTCAATATCATTTCATTATTTGGATTGTACATGTTTAAAATATTGATCTGAAAGTTACGTTTTCCCGCTTCAAAATTCTCGATACGACGTGTTTTAAGAATAGCTGTAATTATTTGATCAGCTCGCGAATTGACCGTACGTTTTAAAGATACTATATCTTGATTGAGTTGCTCGGAACCTCCTTCATTCATAATTCCTAATATTTCTATACAGTCTGGATTTTGAAGCTCATACTGCAAGGGTATATCAGAAATATTGCGTAATGTGAATTGAAATTTTACATCGGCCCACGAATTTGCGTGGCCAATCGTTCCAAGATCGATTTCTGCAAGACTTAGTTCTCCTATGGATACACAATAATATGCGAATAGCTCGATCATTTTTACGGTTGATTGGGTATTTAAGTCATAAAGCAACAAAACTCCTTGGAGGCTGCTTTCTTTTCCTTTGCTAATTTTGTGAAGCTGGTCATTAGTTAATGAGCTTGGTTGTGGACAAGTTACATAAAGAAATGCTTTTTCGCTTGGTTTCAATTCAAGAACAGGACCACAAAGTTGAAAGGGTAATTCACTATCATCATTATGATTAATTATTCTTGGTTCGCCGAAAGGACCCCATCTGACACTTATGTCCAAATTAGTTTTGGCGACTATTTGCAGCGTATCAACCAACGATTTATTACTCACTTCGATACACTGTTCATATAACGGTGAATTTGCCGCCTGATAACCTTCTTGAATTACTGCTCGAAGTTTCAGATTTCTTTCACGTTCTTCCAACTGGAGATTTTCCGTCGGGTTCTGTTCATCCTCAATCGTCACATATACATTATCCCAAACAAGTGATGGCAATTTATCAATTTCCTTCGGACTTTCTACCAAAATGTTTTCCTCCTCCACATTAATATGATGGTTTGTGGTTATTGATTTATTCATAAAACTCATAGTGCTAGGATCAACATAAAGTCTCACTTCAACTTCAAATACTTGCCCTGTATTATTCAAGTTAGTAACAATAATACTCTGACGGAATAAGCCATATTTTGATGAGGTGACTTTGAAAGAAATAATAGCCTGAGATTTATTTTCATCGGACAAAGTATCTGATGGTGATCCAACTTTACTAGAATCAAGTTCTGTAATTGATTCAGATCTTTTGCGTGACCATCCTTCCAGAGTACCTCGTGATCTATCTAGAATAATACTACCACTTGGAGACTCGACTAAATAGTCTAGTGGTAAATGACTAGAAAGATTTTTCAATGTAAACGATCCATAAAAAGTTTCGCCAATTGTCGAAGTTGTGCCTAAAGTAATAATTTTTTCAGATACGGACAATACTGATTGACCGATCAATGAAGTGAATTTCACAGTTTGCATAATCGCTGTGACTAATTCTTCTTGTTCGGAATCTAATTTAGTAGCAGTGCCTGTTAATTTTGCTAATGGTGATGGTCCTTCTTCTTTAACTTGAACAGAAAATTTTATGCCACCAATTAAGGTACGACACTCGGCATTCAAATTGGTATTATGCTCAGCGACAACAACGCTGCCCGGCGTAATAATCGAATTCGTGGAATTATTTAGATCAACTCGTCTTGCAGTTCCAAGTATACCTCGAAGCAAATTAGGCTGCAAAGCGACCCATACAGTCATCTTTTTCCCTTTTCTTAACAAAGTTTCCACCACTTGACCACGTTCACCACGCTCGTCAAGGAAAATGATCACTTGTAATGACAAATTACTTTGACAAGTAATGTAAACGTCTTGATCCGTGATATTCTCCACCAATAAAGGTGTCACTTGAGAATATTTTCGACCCGGATCGACATAGCAATAGCCCAAATCCAAATCGGATTGGCCATCATCGCCAAGCGCAGGGAATCTCAAATATTGTGGGTAATGAACATAGCCATGAAGAATAAAAGTACACTCAGCTTTTGATATCAAATCTCGAACTATCAATGAATGCGCCTGGCGTCCGACATGCTTAGCAAGTATTGTGAAATCAATTCGCTTGGTTTGTTGTGGGGATAAGATACCACGGGTTTGTTGAAATTTGAAAAAGGAAGCTTCATGTTTGAGTATAATTATTTCGTATTCCAAATCGATATCGGCCCGATTAGAAATCTTAAAGTAACAATTATGTTCATGATTAACCTCAAGACGGCCTATATCTAATATCGATGGTTCTAACACTAAGGAGTCGATTGACGATTCAATTGTTTGCTCAGGAAACAGTACACGTGGAACCCCTATAGATGATGGTAACTCATTGATTGTTGTTTCTGGAAATATAGCGGATATAGCATCAAGTATATGATTTAATGGTGGTGGAGCAAAAGAATCAAGTAATCGACGACTTAGTGACTGGTTTTCTCTTTCATTTACATTAGCGACAGATGAATCTTGTTCTCGCGATTTAGCTTGCAAAAGGCTCGAATAGTCATAACAGACTAGTGCTTTGAATTCTATCGTCTTGAGATCATCCGTGTTTTTATATTCGTGTACAAAAATATGCCCGGACACATTTTCTTGTGCAGATTCAAATTCTGCTGGCGATGAAGACGTACTAGTCGTTACTGCTCTAAAAGATACAGAGATAGTTTTCGTGGTGCGAGCTGCCAAAGGGAAAATAATCGATGTCGATGTTTTTCTAAATTTAGATGCTTCTTTGCCATTAGAATTTGCGCGTTCGTGAGATGATTGAAGACTCTTTCCACTGACATCATGCGTAGATGTCTTCGTTATTGCCATATTAGGATCTGAAAAACGTTCAGTTACTGCAACATCATCTGAGGGAGTCTTCCGTCCATCACTCAATTTTTCTAATTTTTCGTCTTTGATAAGAAGTGATGAATTTTTTCCTTCGAATTCATCTTCCTCTTCTCTTCCCACCTTACCTCGTTGCAATCTAGCTATTTTTTTCTCAAGTTTTTTTACTTTGTCTTCACGACCCTTGCGCTTCGCTATTTTTACTTTTTGTTCCAAATTTTCAATTTCTTCTTCCATTTCTTGGCTTACCAGACCACTAGTTTGAAATCCTCCCTCGATATCGTCTTGAATAGAAAACTGGACTTCTCCAGTGCAGTAATTATATTGGAGTTCTTTTGGGTCCACTCTAACTTCAAATGTCCGTGGTTGCTTATCAATATTGCTAATTACAATATGCTGTACATAAGTAGCATTTTTATTTATAGGACACGGGCCAAAATTAATATTTGATGGTTGGATTGAGAATATCGAATGCTTCCGAATGTTGGCTTTAACGTAAACAGTTTGATCATTCTCTCGATCCTGAATATTTTCAATAATGAGTTTCTCATGAAATGCGCCGGGAAGACTAGGATCAAATGTGAATTCTACTTCTTTTTTTCCGTATCCACGAATTACGCCATATCTTCCATCACCAAAAACAATATCACCAGAAGCGATGGATCCTGATTTTCGTATAGTATACAATAAAGGGACCTCACTCCGATTCTGAATAACGATCGTTTTATTTCGATTTTCATTTTTATCTATTACACCAAAATTTATGTTTTTTTGGCCTATAACCATAATTGATCTACATAAAGTAGAACGGACAAGCAACTCTCGAACAGGAATTTGTGATAAGTCACCGTGTATCAAGCTTTCGAATTGAGGTTGTTCAATATCTCGATCAAATTCGATTAATCGCAAAAATATTCTAGCGTCTTGCTTCCGTGGTAACCCTTGAACTAATGGTTTCAATCGTCCATTAGGTGTGAATACCACTATAATTTGTCTCTCCGTTCCGGGTGGGATTTCAATCAATTTGACCGGAACTAATATTTGATCTTTGATTCGATGCCTTAATTCGCGGACAATGCCCATTTGATTGCGAACATACATTTCTTCTATTGAAGGTTTTGGAAACAATGGCGGTGTAGTGACATTGTTTATTTCGAGTGCTGCGATTAAAGATTCAAGAGACATTCTTGAAAAATCTATTGGTGCAGCGAATTTTTCTTTTCTGTTATGCCGTGTTGAAATTACATTAGGCATACTCAAATTCTTTTGTTCCATATCACTCACGCGAGGCGGTAATTGTTTTTTGAACCCTTCGTTAGCTTGAGCTTCCTTGGTTTCATTGGATGACATGCTACTACTGCCTATTGAAAAAGAGGAGGTTTGATTGGATTTACTTGTTACCACGCTAAACATGTTTTCAGTTTCTTTGACCCGCTCAATTGCAGGGCCACTTGCATGTCCACCTTTCCCTAATGGCAATTTGTGGGGTCTTTTGCGAGGCGATCTTCGTATATCTTTAAGGGAAGATGATGCAAGATCGAGGTAAGCCGTGGTAATGGAAGAAAGATCAACAGTAGCAAAATCGGGAAGATTAGGTGCACTACTTCTTGTGTCTCCGACTAACATAGGATTTGATAAATTACTATTCATAGAAATCGAACCTCCAGTGCCTTCAACAACAGATATATGTTTCTTTACTGAACGTCGATCAGCTATCGATTCCAAAAGTTTCTCTCGTCTTTCTATTTGAGCACTTCTAGGTAATACCTCATTCATAACAGCTGTCCCTTCTGCTGCGCCATTCTTAGTCTGAGTTATATCATTTGAGCGAGTAGTTTCGTCAATATTTTGTTGCTTCTGATACATCACAATCTCATCAGGCAAGGAAGAAGTGAGCTCCAACACTAGATTTTTTTTGCTAATGTTGTCAATTGTGAAAGTACGAACTCGAGGAGAGTTCAAAACCGTCGATCCAAAATTTAGATAATGACTAACATTTGCGGTTAATATTCGATAGAATAAAGAGTGGAAAGTGACTCGATTCTTATCGATATTTGTGCTTCTCACTTCAATTATTTGATCATTATCACGATTTTGTAAATTGACCACTGTAATTTGTTTACGATAATCGACATTAACTTTTCTTGGATACATGTCCAATTTCACTTTGATCGATTGTTTTGGTGGGATTGTAATTTCATCACGATTACAACTTAACACTTTTGAAATGAATTGCAATTCGACGTGAGCCGTTAATTCGGACAAATTTGTGATCGTTATTGGCATCGATTTCAAAGTTCCCACATCAGTATCACCAAAATTCACCTCTTTTGGTTCTACCTTCACGAACGAGGTACAACTGCGAGCTTTGCATTTAATAATCTTACGCTCTTTGCTAATCTCAAAATTACCCATCTTTGAATTAACTGGCCCATAATTTAATATAATACGAAAAGAACGACGCGTAAGATGACCAGCATTAAAGTCATTGGCAGATGAATCCTTTTCTGGTCGATAAGAGACCTGCACAGTTCTTTCTTGACCAGGTCTTAGGAGTACTTCGTCGATTTGAGTTACTTCCTCTTGATTATCCAAGTACAAATCGCCCTTTCTAAATATCTCGCCTTTAGGTGTAAAAGCAACGTCAGAGTTATTACCGGTGAGTGGACCTTCAAAATCCGAGTCCTCAAACAAATTAAATCGATGACGACTTGTAGATCTTGATGTCGATCGTGATGGTGGTTGACTTGAAATTTCAGTCGGTGAATTTAACGTGTCACCTTCTCTCGTTAATGGAAGAGGTGAAGCTGCTCGAGAACTTGTGATGCTATTCGGCATAGAATTTTCAACTATATTTATCGCTGTGCTGGTGTTTGAAATGCTCCCCGATACAGCAGAAGTACTATCTTTTACTCTATAATGATTCGAAGAATCTTCGACCATTGCATCTGCAATTCGGTTCTTATTGTTATCGACCATTATCGAATCTTCTACGCTCAAGTGAAACAATATTTCGGCATCTTCTGCAGAAAAATGGATTTCCAAAGATGATTCACTAACATTTTTCAATACTAACTGCTGTCTACTCCAACAACCAGCGCAACAATCCCCGAAATCGAGAACATTTCCACTGCTGACTACAAGTGATTCCTCTCGTAACACCGATCTTACAACCGCGTGAATACGACTTTCCAATACATTTGAAGGATCATTGGAATTCTCCAATTGTAGATCGTAATTAAATTCGCCAATTTCTTTTGGACGAAATGTTACTCGTATTCTTCGATGCGAATAACTTGGAATTGGTTTAGCATCCAATAATTCACCCGTGTCATAGTCGGTAAATTTAAGCGAATCTTCACATTCCGAATTAGATAGATCGACCGTATTGATTAACCAATACAATTCTATTTCTGATCGATTCCAGATTGTGAAATCCTTGAAATAGGTTCCACCCACCACACAATCGTAAAAATTGATCCCCGTTTCACCAACATCTGTCCATAATACAGAACGACAGACGGTAGATCGAAATTTAATGGTTACTTGATAGTCTGCTTTTAAAATGCTACTACTACTGCTTGCATCCGCCTCCGATTTCATTGGCTTATTAATGGTACTTGGATGTGTTGAAGATACTTTATGTTTGAATACAATAAAAAACATGGTTATTTATTTTGGGAGATGGTTTTCTGAAAATACTCTTATTAGTAAATTATCAACAAACCTTGATCAGCAGTAGCCGATGCAGTACTCGTAGAAGGAACAACCTGGAAAGGATTCTCTGTGGCTGGTATAAAATCTTCCTCTTCATTAGTAGTAGCCAATTTGATACCTTGCTCATCGTCCGCTGAAATCTCTAATTCTTTATCAAGATCATATGCAAAAAAGAACAAAAGTCCATTAACCTCAAAAAAATCATGAGTTTCATCTTCTTCAGCCGTAGTCAAGAAAACATTTGCATTTTGATCAACATCTTCAATTGTCTCAGCATTATCTCCGTCACTTGTAGCGTGTGAGAAAGACGCGTTGGATGACTCTCTTAAGTGCGACGATATATTATGATCGATTTTCAATGATCTATGAGCTTTGTTACGTGCATCCGGTAGAAATGCCAGGATTATTTTTTGAGTCGGTCCCGGTTGAATTTCTACTTCATCAATATGATTGACGTAATTAAAAAGTTGATTAAATTGGTGTCCATTTACGCTATCACCAAATGCGCCGGCAGCTGCAGCCGCCACAGTATTCGTCGCAATGTTATTTAAAGGATTTATAGTTGTACTAGAAGAAAGTAAATGTGGAGGTGGTGATGGCGATGACAACGTTAATCTTTGGGAATCTGATCCGCTAAAGTCTTCAGATGCGCTCGCGTAATTATCCAAATCACTGTGTTGTGACGCAGCAGGAGTAACCCAAGGTGACACAGACGATTTTTGTGTGTCAAAGTCTGGCAGATTCTCGTTAGTCAGTTGAAAAGCAATTTGAGAGCCCAAGTTCGAACGTAACTTTACAAGTATTCTATGAGATGATATGTTGCGTATTTCAAAACGTCTTAGAGAATGTAGACCGTTCAGATATACATTATCCAGTACAAGTCTATTATGAATGTTGATTAGCTCGAATAAAGGTTTGTGAGATGAGTTTTGAAGAGTATGTGGTTGCTGCTGCTGCCTTAACTGAGAACGTCCGTTGAGAGGCTTTGATGTAGTATTACAACTGATATTTGATTTCTCAGTTTCTGCCATTATATTAAAAATTTTGACTGCGGCGGTGGCTTTTTCAAGAATAACTATTTGTGATATTGTTGTTGGTGGGTGTTAACTGACTGATCGCGCAAGTTATAAGTGAGGAACTATTAAAGCTAACTACCTAAGGGGAAAAATATATTTTGTGTATGTTAATAAAGCAAAGGATGAGCGATTGCTCAGAAAGTCCTCTCTGAATATAAACGAAACTGCATCCTCCTCCTTTTATGCTTGTTTAGTCATGAGGACAATGATAATGTCCTCTTCTCTGTGCTGGTGGTAAATGATTTATGTAATTAGTAAAATCAAATCAAAAAAAAAAAAAGCCAATAAAAAATATTTCGATTACGAAAAATGGTCCTTTTTTTTTCTCACAACTTTTTTTGAGATCACTCACATTGGCATTCATTGACACGACACGACATCAATCAGACATGTGAACTATTTAAAAAATTTGTCGCGTGTATTTTATTTCTATAAAGGATTCTTGCAAGACGAAATAATGTCGGAAATAAACATTGCCGTCATAACTGGTGCTAATAGGTAAGTAACTATTTATTTAAATACACTTCCACTTCTCGTTTTTTTCTTACATTTGTTCAATAAATTAGCGGCGTAGGCTTCGGAACAGCTCAAAGACTCTTACAACATTCGGAAGATAACCCCACAGAACGCATAAAACTAGTCCTAGCTTGTCGTAACCCAACACGAGCTGCTAACGCCCGATCCGCCCTACTCAAAGAGCACCCCAAAAGTGAGATTGACATTGTGATACTAGACGTTAGTTTAGTAAAGTCCGTGTTTGCGTGTTGCGCAGAATTGAAAAAGAAGTAGGACACACATTATTATTAAGAATAAAAAAAAAGTTTCAATATTGATCTGTTCGGGTTGAGTGAATTTCCTGTTAAATTTTTCTAGATATCGTAAGATAGATTGGCTTTTTTGCAATGCTGGGATATTATCTTGTGATTATGTGGATTATGGGATCGCGTGTAAAGAGTTGATAATTAATCCGAGAAGGCTGTTAACCGCAACTAAATGTGTTGTACAGCCAAAAGGTCGTGTCACCGGTGAAGGACTTGGGGAAACTTTTGCATGCAATATTTTTGGACATTATGTAATGGTGAGTTAATAATAAGAATATCCTACAATATTATATATGGAAAAGGTAATAATTTGATTTCTTTAGATTCATGAACTTGAGGATTTACTTGCTGCTTCTAAAGAGGCCCGTATTATATGGACAGGTTCCAGTACAGCGGCAAAAAACTATTATGATGCGCAAGATTATCAATGTTTAACTGGGTTGGTCTTGTAACGGATTTGTTGGCTTGAAAATAGTTCATTATTCCCATCAAGCATCCAAATCTCACCTATTTCTCTCTTATATAGTGAATTCCCTTATGAGTCTTCAAAGTACATAACAGATCTGATTGCGGTCGCGCTCAATTCACGTATGAATTCTCGTAAGATTTATACGTTCGTAACTCATCCTGGGGTAGTTGCTACCAATATTGTCAGGGATCATTTAAACTGGTTTATGGCAAAGGTTATGCATACGGCTCTCTACATGGTAGTTCATGTTCTTTTAGACAGCAATCATCAGTTTTACTTAAACACCAGCTGATTTCTCACTTTTTCTGCAAAAAGGCTAGATTTTTAGGAGTAAATGAAGAAACTGTGACCAGTTGGAATGGCTCGTTCTCGAATTATTACGTAGCCACTACCAAACCAATCGAATCACTGAAACGAACGGTGAAATATGGATCGTATATAAAACCATGGGGTGTAACTTATGTTCATGAAGATCCCATGGATTACTACGATGAGAAAGAAGCCAACGATTTATTGAATAAATTGGATGAATTGTTGGCAGAGTTTCAGATGAAATATCAGAATTAGTGATCTTTTACCCAATCTCTTCATTGGATTGTTGAAATATTTAATAGAATACACATTTATTTAATTTAATCAATGTATTTTTAACTTTTGTTCTTTAATTTAAAGCATGTATTTTTTTACTTTTGTTCATTTTACTCCTTATGTAAATCATTGCATTCTTATTTTTGCTCTAATTTCACCTATCATAATTTTGTATGATGCACTTTATGATAATTTATTCTACAATGCGAATGTGAGAATCTTACATTACAAAATTAATATATTTATATTATTACTATTATACAAAGAAATAATGTCCCCAAAAATGGTAAATAATTACAAGATAAACGTTTGCATTCAAAAAACTTCACAATAAATGAAATGCTAAAGTTCCACTTTTTATTACTATAAACTCATCGATCTAAATTTTACGCTTCCATCATCCCTATCATCCGTCTTTACCATTACTCTTTCAGCCATGCCACCCCTCTGCTTATCCAATGGTAACCCACGATACGTATATCCAACAAACGCCAACTGCTTTCGCATATTCAGTATTTCAGTGCCGTGTTTTCTATCGCGAAGCATCGGATCTCTGGGTTTACGTTCTCCTTCGCCTTCCGGAGGCGCTAATGGATTATCATCAGTAATCTCTTCAAAATAACGTGTATCAATATCGCTTTTCAGTTTGGGTCTGAATGGAGGTGTTGTATTATGCAAATTATCCCAATCGATGTCTTTGAACCAGGGATGTGCTTTTATTTCTGAGGCATCACCTAATCCGGCAACCGAAGATTTACGATTGTCTGTATAAAGACTTTTAAGATTATTGGAGGTTGAACCGGATCCTATACGATTCTCTCGTTCGCATATTAATTTTTCGATCAGATCTTGAACTTCTCGTGAAGCTTTAGGCCGTGAAGGAAAACGTAGTGTTTGACGCCAATTAATGATTTTAATACGTGTTGTGTGGCGTGTTTTTGAACAGAATGGCGGATATCCGTAAAGCATCTCAAAAATTATGACCTGTTTTCGCGATTATGTAAGTTTCATATCATTAATTCAAACAATTTAAATGATATTAACGACATTAAGAAAAAAAATCGAAATAACTTACACCTAAACTCCACCTTAGATGTAGATGTAAAGTAAGTTTTATTGGTGCGAAAAATTTCATGATGATAAAAAACATATGTAATAATTAGAAAAAATCTCTTACCAATCACATCCTCTATCATATCCAGTTCCTCTTAGAACTTCCGGCGCCATATAATTATTCGTTCCGACAACAGAGAATGCCATCTTTTTGCGATTTTTATCTCTCCAGGTCAAGATATTTTTATTCGGCATCCCATTCTCATCTTCAGAATCAAAATCGTCCGACCAATCGCCCCATCTCTGAGGAAGTTGGAATTTCTTCCCCATTGCACGAGTAAGTGTGTCCGTCTCAATATCCACTCCAGTTTTGCGTAATAAATCTTTACGTTGCTGTTCATAATATGCCGAGTCATGAGCCCAATGAAAATCGGTTGCCAAACCAAAATCTGAAAGTCTTATGTGCCCCTCGGAATCAAACAGGAAATTGTCCGGCTATTTTCCGTAAAAAGTTAGATATTCAAGAAACAAAATGAAGCTGATTTTGAACAGATTGACAAATTAAAAAAAAAAGGTACCTTGATATCACGATGAATATATCCGAATTTATGTGCTTCCTCAATACAAAGCACCATTTCAGCTACATAAAACTTCGCAAACTGCTCTTCAAAAATATCTTTTTCAATCAATAGATTCAAAAGGTCACCACCTGGCATATATTCCATCACAAGATACAAATGATCCATATCTTGAAATGAATAAATTAATCGCACAATCCATTGTGCTGTCTCTGCAGCGGCAGTTAACAAATCTCTTTCGGCGCGTACATGACCTTCCTGCCCCTTCTTTAACATATCAGCTTTTCGCATAACTTTCATGGCATAGAGTGTTCCTGTACTTTTCTCCCTGACTAATTTCACGACCCCAAAAGCACCATGTCCAACAGTTTTGATGATGTGAAATGAATTAACGGTGATTTTTGTTCTAATAAGACGCATGTAATCCGACTCGATATTGAGCCATTCTTGTCTAATTTCACGTTTGTCATCTTCCGGAATTCCCATCTGTTCAAGCTCAGATTCAAGTTGTATACGTCTTTTCGTACGTCCAGATGGTTCCTTGAGAATACCATAAAAGTAGTTTTCGAAATATATTTTGGTTGCCGCGGATTTCTCTACAGTTGCAAGAGAAGGCATGATCTCTTGATCTACGAGTTCATCACCCAAACCAAAGTCAACAACATCCTTCATCACCACAGTCCCAGTGGCGTTTTTCTTGCTTTGTGGAAAAGCGGCTTCGAGAATATTACGCGAAGAAAACGTCTTTGTGCGAATAGAAGGATCTGAAGCCACAATAGATATTAGTTTGTTATAAATTTCAATTGAAGAAAAAAAATTAACATAGCAATTTACCAGGCAATTTATTCATTGTCGGGTTTCTACTCATGTTTTCCAATATTTCTTGAGCATCCTCGAAATTATCCGTATGCACTAAATGTCTTTATGATAATTTTAATTAGCTGGATAAAATTCGGATATTAATGCCAATCAATAAAAAAACTCACTGAAATTCCGTTGGCACTGATATCTGTTCTTTATTCACATTATATCGTTTCTTCATAAAGGTACCAAATTGGACAGGAACTTGAATGAAGTACATAATGTAAGAAGGAATGGTTCACGCAAGTTCTATTATCTTTCTCTTGCAAAGAAAAACGATATGATATTCATACCATCCATTTTTGTTGCCACATAATCAAGTATTTCATAAAACCGTGGCGACGTGACCGAATTACGTCTATTAGTATCATTTGGAGACTTTGCTCGCACCGTTTTTCGTTTAAACATAGTTTTTTTTAACGTATAATAACCAAGGTGTAGTAACAATGTTTTGTTTAAAAAGATCAAGAACCAGAAAGCAAGAGAGCCAGAGCAAAACAAGGTGCTTTTATAATAAACAAAGGATAGGGGAAAAAGAACGAAGAAAGGACCTACGAAGATAAAAAAACGTGTTGATATTATTAATTTCCTAGGGCTCCTGAACTACGTATTTCCCATAATTAGATATTCGTATTACGCGAATTTATACTAAATGACACGCGTTTTTACATACATACGAGTTTATAACAAGATAAAACAATAACATCATCATCATCATCATCATCATCATCATTAACATCATAAAATTGGGAATTTATTTAGAAGCTCCTTCTTTTTGTTGTAACGATAGGCAGGCAGATCATTACAGAGCGGAGAATTTAAGATTACCTAATTGGTCATGTGATAATTAGGATAACTCCCCCCTGTAGTTCGGTAGTTTATCAAGATTCTCTTCAATCAAGTGATAAAAATCTATAAATACAGGTGGGCACCTTTTCAAACAACGCAAAACCCAGCATGTCATCTACCACCGAAGAAAAGAACGATAATAATTTTATCAATAACGACAATAATAAAAATAATAATAATAGTAACAATAGCAATAATGATAATAATGATGAAAATGATAATTCAATGATACATCATCTTCCTCGGGAGATTCTCAGTAAAATATTTTCTTACGTACCCATTGAGGACATACGGACCTTACGATCTTCACTTCTTGTCAATCGTGAGTGGTGCCGCTGTGTAGTACCAATACTGTGGAGAAAACCATTCACCCTCAAACCACAACTAACATGCTCACTGCTGAAACGACGTACATGGAATATCATCTACGTGTATTCTTTATATCTGGATGACGAGACCAAGAAAAAACTTCTTATCGATCCGCGAAATTTCAGAGACTACACCAAATCCCCTTTATTTGATTATCCATCTCTTCTTCGGGAAGTAGATTTCATCAAGGTGTATCAATTTATTTCAAAGTGGAAAGAAAATGCATTACTGACCAAAGAAGATCGTTGTGCATATGATCAAAATCAAAATGGGGAATCGGACAATAATAGTGATCAAATGGGATCAGGATGGGATGAAGGAAAAGATGAATTTTCAACGTATAACCAGATTATTAGTTATCCCGATTACTTCGTCGATGGTTATGATGATTATGATGATTACGATAATTATGATAATTATGATTATGATAATGAGGAGCCATCTAGTGATCAAGATCTTTCAGATCTTTCAGATTATGATGATGGATTAAGTGATGAGGATTATGGAACATACGAAGAGGATGAAAATAGTGAGTTTGGTGAAGAAGGCGAAAGAAACTCGTTGCAATTCACGCTGGAATTATTCAAAGTTTTCTTTAATCATTCACCTCGCTTCGATATTCTCTGCTTTGATATCAGTAATCTTTCACGTGTTCAGCCGCATGTTGTCGCTGAATATCTAAATCAAGTGCCAAATCTGTCTGGAGCAGATAAATCTTTGCAACCATTATCGGAGCTTCGCTATGCTGGGAATCAGTATTCAGTGGCGACCATGGAAAAGTTAGTTCATATCTGTACAAATCTAAAGTCCATTGAAATCTTGGAGTGGAATAATAGTGATACTACGAATCAAATTAATCAAATTGCTTCGCTTATTAAAAATCAAAAATCTCTCAAGAAATTAAATTATCGAGGCAACTATGAAAATCTAGCATCAGTTGTCATTGCGCTAAAGAGTCAAATAGATTCATTGGAGGAACTCGAACTTATCAACGGTTATTTTAATTATGTGAATACCGTGGAAGCAATTGCGGGATTGAGTAATTTAAGAACATTAAAAATAAAAAATTGCAATCTAACCACTACTACGATGTATCCCCTGATAAAAGCTAATTTTCCAAAGCTCACCACCTTTCATTACACAGATAATCAATATGATTGGGACGACTTGATAAATGATGAAGATCCTCCACCTGTCAATGAACTCAAATGTCTGCTCAAAAATGTTGGCAAACAACTCCAAGAAATCTCATTGGACATTCACGAATTCTTTTACGTTGGCATTATTAAAATTCTAGCCAGTCACTGTCCAAACCTTGTCACCTTTTCGGCCAATATTCAAATCGATCAATTACTTGATGAATTCATTATTTTGCTGGCTGCATCAAAAAAATTAGAAAAGATCGTCATCTCCGCCAACTCGTGGAATCGACTACTTAATACGGATCATTTCATGCGGCAAGTCGGCCAAGCGATTCCAGCTTCGGTACGCTATCTAGATTTAACAAGATGGACATTTGGACCGAAAGCGCTTGAAGCCTTTCTCGAAGAGTCTAAAGCAAATTTAGAGCATTTTGCTTGGCATTGTCCTGGTGCGTCGGGATCCGAAAGTGTTGAGGTGATTAGAGAATACGCGAAAAAACACAAGCTGCAATGTAAAGAGCTGCAATGCAAAGAACCCAGTATCTCCGTTTCTGGCAATGCGTGTAAAATGCGCGTTGAATTTAACAATAATTGAAGCAATTGTATTTAGCTTTTTTTGGGATAGAGAAAAAATTGGTTATGTATTTATGTATTGAGAAAATTGGCGCAAACAAAAAAAGAGAATTGGAGCAAACAAAAATTAAAAATTAAAATCTACTATTTGTTCGAATATTTTTTTTATTTTATGACTTTTAAATGTCTTCTATGTTGATATTAAATATATAATAATTACTAACAATCTAGTTATTCTTTTTATCCTCCTTCTTAGCGCTTGTATCTTTGTTAAAAATCCATACCGCTGAAAACACCAAAAATCCGACAGACATTGACGCGGCACTCGCGTAATATGGGTACGCGGACAATATAAACCGCGGGTATTCGTTATGTCTAAACGGTCGCACTGCCACAGTCACCGAATCGACTATGTAACTGTAGCCGGGGCGTTTGTAATTCACTTTGAATTTGAACACGCCGTACACGTCCGGTAATTGCAAATGTGTTTCGAATATTCGTGAATACTGATGACCTTCTGGTTGAATTTCTAGAGGTGTAAGTGTACGCCTTATATAAGGATCGAGCATTATCACTTCTAATTGTACATCCGTGCCATTAAACGGATGCCATTTATCATCAACATATTCCGATATTTCGATACTATAAACCTACGTATACATAATTGTTACATTCAATAAATTATTATAAGTCATCATGATCATGTCGAGCTCGTATCGTAAAAAAAAAACTTACAATATGATCTTTTATGCGATATGTTTCTAATGGTTCTATCTCGCCTTCCTGGTGATGACGACGAGATGTGACCCTAAGAACTCCTTTTTCTTGAAACGTCCATTTTATCAGATCATCAATAAGTGCTTGATTTCCAGATTTTGGATATCTAAAATGACAATAATATCGTTCGTTTATATGCTAATAGAAATAGATTTTATCAATTGAATAATACCGAGAATGAAAAAATACATACGACTCTTTCGACTTAATTTTGCGAACCGGTGAATTTAATAAGCTTGCAGTAGCATTCAGAAATCAAAAAATTAACAATGATCCCCGAATGAATGCTATATAATGATTGGATAAACGAGGCGATACACACACACCTATCTTGGAAAAGTTCCAGACTACCAACAAAGGCAACTCTAGCGTTATTTCGAGCCTGCAGAACAGAAACCAAACTAATCTCATTTCCAAATATGAATGGATCCTGATCTGCTACCTGGCCATCCTTCGTTTCATACGAATAAGCAGTATCACTAGTGATCCACGCAATTCTAGTCAACAAGGGAATCGTTCCAATCTTGTGTCCAATTCCTTTGTACAAAACAGGAGGGCCCTCCAAGGTTTCTTTGCTCAATATTATCGAATTGTTAGAGAAACCGCCTTTCTTGTCGTCTAATACGAGTAATGTGTGCTTTCCGTCAGAATCTGACTCGTCATAATTGAAGTGATCAATCACAGAGGTTTCACGATCATCGAATTCAATATCAAACTCTCGTGCGAAATCTCGAATCGTTTCAGAAAGCTCAGTAGAGGCGGCTAATAATATATTGCCGCCTTTATTAACGAAGTTTATGAGCGCAGCTGGATTCACCTTGTTATCATAATCTACGAAAAGATATTAGTTTACTAAGCGTGACAAAATAAAATCGAATGTATGAATTTATTCATTACTTTTTGTTTTTGGAGCAAAGTTTATTACATGGTCGAAAGCTCGTTCCTCAAAGGCGAATAACTCTACCTTTGGGTCGGAAGCTGTTTTATACGAGAGTGTGTATTGCCTATCTAGTTAAAAAGCAAAAAATTCCGATGAAAATTTTATTCAAATAATTGGGCGAGTTTATTGTAAAAATCCCATCAAGAAACCACACCTTCTAAAGATTTGAAAAACTGGGAATAAAGTGCTTTATCGGTCTCGTTATCCAACAAGACAAGGACCCGTCCGCCTGCTGCAGATTTCGCCTGAACATTATGACTATCGAATCCCACCAGCAGAACGAGCAAAACGATAGTTACAGAAGTAGCAAGTGATGAAAGTCGTCGTCTCATTTTCCCGAAATATTTATTCGGCAGGTGTTGGGTGGAAATTTTAATTTTTTCGACCTGCCCATTTTTTTAGCAAATACTTGGCAATGTGTAACTGGTTTTTGATTCGGATCTACAAGCGATCTGCAAGCTTATTAGGTTAGACCTTAACGTTAAAAAGATTTAAGATTTCTCGATCAAATTAATATTTAAATATTTTTTATTTCAACGAATTTATTTTGCTGTACCATAAAAAAAATAGAATCACGAAATTACATCTTTTAAGAATAAAAATTTGCGAATTCAAGAATTTGGTTTTGAAAAAATAGCGATAGTGTTATAATTAGTAACTATTACGTATAATTGCATGCATTATTTTCGTTATGTTGTAAATCATTTGAAACATTTTGTATTTGTTTTTGATATATAGGATTACTCGAGTTTATTTGCATGTATACATGTATATAACGATAAAGAACCAAATTTCATTTATTTTCTGTAAAAAAAATCATAAATGTAACCATTCTCTCTCTCTCTCTTTGATATGAATGAGGTAATACTACTACCGTTGTAATTTGATAAAAAAAGATTTCTTTCGTATTGATAAATTATCGGGATGAAGAATTTGAATGTCGCACTCAAAAATATTTATAATAAAGTATAAAAAATATAGACAGAAAAAATTTACAAAGAATATTTATTGTAAAGTTCTAATTCTTCATCAGTCCACATCCACCGGCCCAAGGTCCCCAAGCACACATACCGCTAGTACTAACACCACCGCCAGCTGAGCCATCCACTTTAACAGGACCAAGTTTAGCGTCTACTTTTGCTTGGCCATCACCTTTATGTTTTTTTGGAAGTGGTATCCCTTCTGTCGTGGTTATCGAGGTGGAAAAAATTATAAAGCAGATGACGAGGAAGAAAAGAAAGAATGATGTTGAACGATTTGAGGTGTTCATTTTGAAGTTGATATGCTAAAAATTGGGAAATGAATAGGATAGAGATTTATTTGATCGAGTAGATGAAATTTATCAAAAATTTCTCGGATAATGAGTGAGTGAGTGAGTGAGTGAGTGAGTGAGTGAGTGAGTGAGTGAGTGAGTGAATGAGTGAATGAATGTATGCAAAAGTATGCTTTGGGGATAGATCGCGTGTGGATGTCAAGTGTGTTGTATATATATATGTCTGTTAAAAAGAAATCTTCAAGTCTTATCAAAAGACCTTACAAACGTGAGAGAGAAGAGTTAGAGACAGTGAGGAAAATTATTCCAAAGTTAATAGTAAAACAGATTGAAGAAATTTGGGATGAAGAAAAACGAAAAAAAAAAGTAAACGGTATTTATATTTCGTAACTTGCTTTGTTCACTCAAGATATCAATTGTTTCAAAAGAAAAATATATTGTTCGTTTATTATTTACAACAAAAATCTTTGTCACGCTTTATTTTCCTACTCCCATTCTTGGGAATATGCATAACGATAAATTGGTACGTCCACCACATTTTTTGTCTGCAACCTATTTTACAATGTATAGATTGTTTAAGTCTTTCATTTCCCATGCGTTGCCTACATTGACTCCACTTCACGTTATACATGTGTTAAATTTAATAAATGGATATACCCTTCATTGCCCGAAAAGTATGTATGCTGCAGAGTAGATTTGCCCGAGAAGTAATGCAAGCATCTCTGGCATATACGTATCGTACCATTGCTAAATTGACTTTATTGACAATTTTATACGATTCTAAAAAGCGAAACCTCAATTAATATAATTATAATATAATTCACAATCGATTCTTTGTCTTGTATGAATGGTTAGAATGTGACAGTAGATGTTGATTATTTTCGATAAAAAGTTTGTTAAATTCGACGTTTGTTGTTATCGTTACCTTATAATGAATTTCAGGGTAGAACAAAGTTTTTTTTTTTTTACTTTATTGTTCATTTGGAACGTATCAAACAAAACGAGCGAATTACAAATTTTTAAGATTCGTTGTTTATTGCAAGTCAGTCGAGAAAAGTACGTCATTTATTTTATATCTAATTTTCTAATTTCTTTTTGAAATTTTTTTTAGAAATTAATATAAATAATGGTTACAGTTAAAAATCAAAATTTGATCAAAAGAAAAACATTGAATAAATCAATGATACATGTATGTTATCTGGTCACTTAGACCGTTTATGAAAAATGAATTAAAAAAATTTTACTATCAGCGCCAGCTGTAGTCAATGCTTATATGGGGGGGTGTGTGTGTGTGTGTGCGTATGTGTGTGTATGTGTAAATGCTATGAAAAACTATTTTCCCAGAATATATTAATGTACAAGTGTTTTTTGGGGTGTCTAATGTTTCTAATTAATGTCTCTACCAAGCTAATCCAATTTCAGCTGACCTTGGAGACCCTGATGCTGATGATGCAGATGAAGACGGTACACCCGGCGTTCCCATCAAAATATTTTGATATTGTCGTAATAATTGTTCGGATGTGATTTTTTGATCTTGATCAATGTTCTTAGAAGAAGGTGGATTTGTTAATGCCGAAGGACCAGTCCCTCGTAGTATATATTTTTCTTCTATATTATCGGGAAATGCAATATTTGCAGGGACTGAAGGTGGTGGTGGTCGAATTGCTTGTTGCTTTATTAATGGTGGTCGATTCACACGTGATGATGGTGACGTAGGAGAACTTGTTCGAGTATTGGGATTACGTGGAGGTGGTGGTGGTGGACTGGGTCTCGCTGGAGGTGACGGAGGATTAAGTCGTGTAGGTGGTGAAGGAGGTCGACGTGTTGGAGGTGAAGTTGGACTTGCTTTACGGCTGGGAGTTCTCGATGGACCTGATGAATTTATTATTGTTGGTGTTGTGTCAATTACAGGAGGAGAACTCGGTGTTTTTGATGATGTTGACGACGAAGATGTACTCAATTTTTTATTCGCGAACCGTGCAACACTTTTTATTATTGAAGGAGAATTTGATGAGGACACAGGAGGCGGACTTGCACGTTTAATACTAGCAGAACGTGAGGATATGGTTGATTCATTGTTCAGGCTATTAGATGAGGAAGATGATGATGATGATGATGATACAGGCGGAGGGCTCGCACGTTTGCTAGCAGCACGTGTAACACTACTAATTGCATTAGATAATACTGATGAGGGTGGACTTGCACGTTTGCTTGCCATCTTTGTAGTTCCACTTGAGGATTCAGTCGAAGAGTTGGAAGATCCTGAGGATCTTCTCACGCTATTTTTAAGAGCAGATTTCAAGACTGGCGCTGAGCTATTATTATTGTTGTTACTGGATGCTTTTCTCAACGCTGTAGTTTTTGTAAGTGATGCTGATGATGAAGAACGTTTTCTCGGCTCCTGTGCGTTCATTGCTGATGATTGTGATGATTGTGCATGCTTTGATGTGCTACGTGAAACTGCAGACTTTGCTATTGAAGCTGACGATGAAGATGATGAAGATCTTTTTCGATGCTGCTGGGGTATTTGCTGTGACGATGGTGATTGTTGATTTTTCGGGATACCAGCACCACTACCTACATATGATCTAGCCTGAGTCTCATGTGCCACGCTAGACATTTGCGCCTCCAAAGATGGTAATTTTTCGTGGTCACTACCATCGGAAGAAGTAGAAGTGATCTCGATTATCGGAGTTATTGTTGTTGATGGCGGTCTCGATATTTTTGACGAAGCTGAAGTATTATTGCTTCTTGTTTGTTTTGAAATAGAAGACGATTGTCTCTTTGATGATGAGTTATCAACAACAACAACGGATCCTACTGAATTACCACGTCCATGATGTAATAATGAAGAATCTGTTTCAAATGATGATATTGAATCGAAATAATATCCATCAATATCCCCAATGCCAAAACTACTAATACTACCAGAGGTTGAACGTTTTGAAGGCATATCAAACGATACCGACGAAGATGATGGTTGTTTAGTGTTAGATGAATGATCGGATGTACTATTACCTGACGAAGAAGAATTGTTAAGGAAAGCAACGGTTGGTCTTATTACTTGCGTTTCTGGTGATTTTGTGTACACAGATTGATTATAATGTGCAGGTTGAATTGGTGTCGGTAATTGATAATTAATATTGTTATAAGAGGTTGGTGGTAGTGGAGGAGATGTTGGCAGAGACGCAAATGACTGTGATGAGGAGTCAGAGGATTTTGGCGAGAATGGAGGTGATAAAGACAGTGCAAGAGTTGAGGATGGCGAGAGAGGAGATAAAGTTGAAGATGTTGTAAGCGGAGGTGACATTTGTATATATGTGGTATTCATGTTTAGCGACTCCGGACGTGGATTACGTGATAATGATGAAGCCTTATGAATATTTTCTTCCGGTATATCAATACAGTAACTCGATGGCAGCGATGTTCTCGACGATGTGCAATCATCACTTTGACCTAGCACACCACAGTCAAGTGGTTGTTGTCGATAATTCTTGATGCCTTTAGTGGTAATAGGAGCCAATGATTGAGGAAGAGTGGTAGTGATGGATTTCAATGATGAATTCTTTCCGATTGTCGCAGTATCACTCGCCAAATTTTTCGTCGGATAGAAAATCAACATTAGCAACACGAAAACCAAGTACAATCCGTAGTTCACATGTGTCATTAAAAAATCCGCGGCAAATTTGTGGCTATTTAACCATTTTGTTTCTGTTAAGGCGTCCACACAAAGTAATATCATCGCCGTTGATCCGATTGCTAGTGCGGCTGATAGGCAACGATTCATATCCTGAAGATTAAGAAGGATGTTCACTTAGTAAGAAAGAAAGATTCATTTCGAAATCCAATCAAACCAATGGATGTACCTTACCTTGAAGTATTCCAATTTTCGAATAACACTTTGCTGAGCGGATGCGGCACCTTTCGTTACTTTTAATAACTTCATGAATCGATGATGCGATCTCAAGCCCAACAATGCAATTATGATCATGAATATTCCATATGCGAGCTGAGGCGCGATTTCCATGTATAGTATATTCGATCGGAATGTGTATTGTAGAACCGGGAATATGGATAGACTGAAGATCGAGTAAATGATGTACGATTTGAATTCTGGTTTGATTTAATTGATTTGGTAAGTAAGAAATTACTGGATAAACAAGGATTCATAGCGTTAAACACTTACCAAAACTACCCATGAATGAAGTCTTCGCCAAGTTTCCAATGTACAGCCAAAAAGATTGTAAAAGGAATAACAATGATCTACATATAAAAGACGACGCGTCAACACATCAATCTCACATGACTAATAAAAAATCACATGATCAATAATACTCACGTCTGTACGCTAAAATTCGCACACAACACGTAATCAATCGGCACTAACCATTGTTGATGCTCATCACTCCAAAACTGGTAAGGGGTCGCGATAATTTCTTTGTTTAATGGGTCGACCATAAATCCTTCTTGGTATCTTATTAAGGTGGATATCCCATCGTAAAGTAGTTGTAGCGGGCACATGATTAATAAGAGGATTGTGATTGCCGATTTCTGGTTAAAAATAATGATGATATTTTTAGAAAAGGTGATCTTCTATTTATTTTCTCTCCAACAATTCGCCGATGCATGTGTACAACATATATATTTATCCAACTATCTGGGGGTAGATAGACGGAATTCACCGACTTTTTTCTTTATCCTTTTACAATTGTAATTTACATACCAGTTCAAACTTCTTCACCCTTTTCCAAGCGAGTGCTTCAAATCTATCAATGTACCAAACATGTTGTAGAAACCATATGAATGTCCAAAATATGAATACTGCCCTCGCTAATAGAAATACTTTTGGTTAATATTTTGACTTTAATCGGGAATATCAAAAAAGAATGCACTTACTTAAATATGTTAAGTCACTGGAATGTGTCATCTCTTCCTTTTCGGATATGTGTATGTTATATTATAGGATGATGAATCAATCGAGTCGTTATCAATTGTTTGCTTGAAGCTTATTGGAATGCGTCGTCTTGTTAAAGTGGGGAGAAATGACAAGAACAGAAGATGTATGTTTTTTATGTTGTTGGCAGTGTATATGCAGTAAATATTTTTTTATGCGTGTATGTGGGTGTATGTATGTTGGTTCTCTCTCTGGTTTTTTTGTTTTCTCTCGGTTCCTCTGACTTTTCAATGAGATAAAATAAAATAAAATAAAATGAATTTTGAATAAAAAAAGTTCGAGAAAAGAAAAATCGGGTGTCGTGGTAAGAGTAATGATAAAAAGGTGCGTGTTGTAATATTAATATAACTATTACTGACTAGCCGATGTTGAATATTCTTCCAATTGGACCAAAATGAGCAAATAAGAGTGGTGGTTGTGAATAAAAGAAAATAATAATGCAGAGTATCAATCTTTACTTCTATCGACCTGCGAATATTAGAGAAAATGAGATGAATGCTACTACTAAGATGAGAATAATGGTAAATGAATATGATTATTACAAAAATGAATCACAAGAGATGATAAAGTTTACGCGAATCAAACAATAAAAAATCGAATCAAGAAAAAAAACCAACTTGACAGAAAATAGGAAACAAGAGGATCAAATCAGTTCAATAGTTAACATAAATAATAAGAATAACATATGATAATGTATAAATAAATTTAAATTTATAAATCGCGCGTTTTGTTAATAACAATTAAAATATTAATAGTCCAATTAAAAGTACACTATAAATATCTCCAAATATATACAAGAATAAACAATATATTATATATATAACAAGAAAAGTCGTATAATCTTTAAAGTGTCAATTAAATAAGTAAAGATGGTAGTAGCAGCAGGTTTCAAGAAGATCTAGAGAAGAGAAGTCAAAAAAAAAAAAAAAAAACCATGAAAAATTTAAGAGAGAACGAAGAGTCAACGTTTCGGTTTTTATAATCTTATATATTTTATATTTAATATAAATATAATAGAATAGTTTATTTTACACAATTAATGAAAACAATATATATGTAAATAATCGGGGTTGATTTAATGTGAAATAATGCCGATCCATTTGTGCATAAACACTGCAACAACAATCATCCTTCTTTTTCGGTTTTAACTTTCGTATTACGCACACACATTTTTGATGGGTTTTTGTTGATGATATACTTTGCAACACTGGGGGGTTATATGTCACCTATTCCTTTCATTCTCGAAAACTGCTTACAGATGAAGAGGTGATCTCTCTCACTCTTGTTTTACTTACATATACAAGTGTGTCTGTTCTGTCCGCCTATGTATGTACGTGTATGCGCGCAAGAGTTGAAAAGACAAGATTAAATATAAATATGCAAGAGAGAGAAAGCACGGCACGCGAATTAATTTTGCGATGCTATGTTAGGACGTTAAGTGAGAATAAATTAGAGCTGCAGGTTACTCTTATTGGAAAATGACTAACTATAAATAACATCAGGCGGTTAATTATCTTTTTTTGCGAATTATAAAAGTGAGGGAACAACCCAAAAATACTAACTAATCTGATGAACATAACAATCTATCTATCGTTATATGAAGTATAATACTCTTTGATAATAAAGAATAGCAATTTTTTTTTCTTTCTAATTTATTCCACTTTTCATTCTGAATTCCTGTTTTTTCATTTTATAAATTAAAAATTCATAATATTCATGACATTACATTGTCAGAGAAGGAAAATGATACAGATCAAAAAATTATGTTTTTTTCACGGGGCGTGTGAGTGAGTACACTTTGTACATGAGGAGAGTCAATTTCGCTGAGAATTTTAAAATCGTTAATTTTACAATTGATGATTTATAATTCTCATTCACAGAATTACAATGTCGATTTACATGTATTATAACACTAACAAACAATCAATTAATTTATAATGCCCTTCTCCCCTTACATTATTGATCCGGAGAAAGAACAATGGATCAGTTTAACCATTTTTAAAATACAAAGTAACGTATTTTTCATGACACAAAATGAAATATGCACGTACGTAAGTATTTTGGAAATTCTTTTTTTAAAATCACAAAAAATCCAAAAATAGATTTGAAGGGGATCACCTACTAAATCGGCCGCACAATTTTAGGCATAGGTCGAAATTTACAATATTTCCCATTTTATATATTATGGGAATTTGATAATGCAAAAATCGACTCTTTCTTAATGAAGCTAAAACCAAAATTTAAAGAATCCCAACCTGAATATTTTCTCGCCTTCTAGTATGTCAATTCTAGCTCAAAAAGTGGATTGTTCAAATGTCTCTAAACCTCAATTCGTGCACTATTGCGTCACAAACACGTGCAAACTGATCATTCTGAAAATTTTGCTGGATTCATAAGCGCTTAAAATGATGCTTCAATTTAGAATTCTCGTTTAGCCGCTTTAAACCCCTGGTAAAAAAAAAATCATTGTACAGTACGTGAAAAAACATGAAACCGAGAAATGACGCAATTTAATTTTTAACAAATGGCTGGTTGTTTATGGCTGTCTTGATTCAGAAAATCAGCATAAAGGAAGAAAAAGTTTTGACAAAAAATCTCAAAACCGGTTGTGTTTGAAACAAATTCGGGCGTTCAATTCGCTAATGCTAATAGTAATACCATTTACATCATATATCTTACAGAGCACAAAATAATGGTAGTTACACATGATAATTGAAACGCGGTTACACCAGAGAAAATTGACGTAGACAATGAACACCTTTTTTTGACGCTAGCCACACACAACATACGTTTGCGGTGGCTGACATATACACATTTGCCATTGTTCTAAAAAAATAACAGTGGCACGATTTTTTTGAATGAATTATGCGAAAATATTGTGGGGAAATTATTAATATCGATATACAGTACATTCGTGCGGGTTGTGTGAAACACGAGTTTTTTGTGTTACGATTTTACTCGATTGTCGCCCTCCCATGTTTTTGGTAAAAATGCGCCACGTAGTCACCCTCGGAGTTTTAAAGTGGATGTTTTGTTTTCATTAAGTGTGTACATTCCGCAATTCTTCATTCTTATATAGGGTGGATTAGTATCTTATATGTGAAGAACTTTCTTTTATTGGTCAGCAAATAATTTACGGATGTGCTGTAAATAGATAAAAAAGCATTCCGTTGTTTACCAGTGAATTTTAACTTTATATCACAATCAATAATATCATTCTCTGCAGCAATGTGAATACACAGATTGCGAATTAATATCACTTGCAATGAATGTATGAAGAAAAGAAACAGATTATCTTTTCCAGGCCAAACTCTCTCTTTACCTTTTATATACAATAAAGCGTGCATCAATACGCTTAAATTTATCTGATGCCATATTTGTTCATCCGTTTGGTCAAAAATCGAAAATTAATATGCACGAGTTTATTGAGTATGTCAACAACAAAGAGCCCACATTAACAAAAGCAACAAATGGATGTCAATATTTATCATACAGGTCAGAACCCATCACCAAAATATGAATCGTTCTCTTCACATGATAATGACAAATTGCATGATGTCAGATGATGAACTTTCTTCGTTCCACGTGCGACACTTGTGAACAATAAATAGAAATTCAAGGCAACTAACTGACGCTAATGCAAGAAAACAATATCTTATCGTCAAAAACTTTTTAATTTATTAACAACTCTCAAATTTTTATAATTTTTATATTAAAAAATCGACTATTTATTCAAAGCGTACCACTACGCCCTGAGAGGGGCTCGAACCCTCGACCTTAAGGTTAAAAGCCTCACGCTCTACCGACTGAGCTATCAGGGCCAGATGAAAAAATTGGCATTTTGAAGCTAGTTATTTTCTTAACTATCCAATGCTTTGATTATTTCGCAATAACGTAATAAAATTATACACGAGGCATCAATCAAGTTTTTGTGTGATTTTTCGTTATAATATATTACAGAGGATTAATACAAATTTACTCACCATCTTACTAACATATTTGTTAAACTACTTTTTTTTGAAGATTGTGTGTGGTGTAGGTAGATACGTATATGTGGTGTTTATATTCTGGGTTATGTATGATCTCTTCTCAATTTATCGTGGTTTATATGTTTGTCACAGGAATCTCCCCTAACTATATATACTCTATATATAATAATGTAATCTATGGATCTATTTACAACATAAGAACAAATATTGTTGGTGAGTTTACAATTGTGTGTATCTGATAGTAATGAATGACTCATTAAAAAAAAGTCTCACACAATACAAAGAAAGTTTTAAAAAACGGAAATCAAACAAAAACTTTGAAATAAAAAAATCAAATTGTCATGAGAAAGATATAAATCTCTAAAGTGTTCTTTTAAATTCCGTCCACCAATTATTGGTGATAGTCACGACCGGAAAATTTGTTTCGGTAAATTTGTTATAGACCATTCGAAGCACGACTTCAGCGCTCTGCAGAAAGGTGAGTATCTCTTGAACCGTGAGATTTATCGTATTTTTTCGTTGTTTCACCTGCCATTGATCGACGAAGGAATGAAGTCTGACTGTCATCGATTGAATTTGATGAGCCTGGTCAAATACTTCACTAAAGACCGATATCCAATACCGTTCGACGAACTTGAGCATACAGGATAATGACCATGGTTCAATATCACTCACCACATAAGTCCAATTCTCTCCCAATAACGTTCTAAAATGAAACTTGAATGGGCATGGTAAAAGAGACTCGAGCTCACTAATAACTTTATCAACGAGTTCTCTTTGTCCAAGATTTATTTTTTGCGTCAATAATGCCTTTGGTATTTGTGGATCAGTGTAAACAGGACCCATGCAGACAGCGAGTGCCGTGGAAGTTTGCGTTGTGCAACTGGTATATTCACTTATCGAGTTGTATTCGCTCAAGTTGATATCATCGAGTGTTCTACTCGTGGGTACTTGATTTGTAATCCTATTTTTCTGAATTTTCAGATTCTTCTGACTATTGCCGTAGTTATCCATCGATTTGGATCTTGCAAGTTTTGCATTTAACGGAGCATGAATTGAGGCGTACAACGATTTATCCCCCCTCACTTCCGAATTAGAAACAGGGGGAGTCAAAGATAAACTTGATGACATAACCACATCATTACAATCATCCATAACAACATCATCATCCTAATTAAAAAATGCAACGATTTATAAAGAATGGAATATAAAAAATCATATATAACAAACACATAAGATATACACACATATGGATTCTCTTCACCGTTATCATATTGCGGATCGCAATATTGATCGACGACCGGCGGAGATGATTGCGTATAAATGTCGTCAACTTCGAACTCTGACATCTTTGACAATTTTTGCAATATCCTCTCCAGAATGCCATCAAGTCCTTTACCCTTTTTTTGATATGATTCTGTGGGAATTTCTAAAATATAATACAATTCATTTATCATATCCTTATGGTAATCATTTATGGAAAGTGGAACTATTGTATCTTACCGTGCACCATCGCTTTTACACAGAGATTTTTGTCATTTGATAATAAAGTTACAGGGCATCTGGCTTCTAATTTGAAGTATCTACAGAAGAAATTACAATAATCATCATCATCATCATCATCATCATCATCATCATCATCGATAGAGCAATCATTCCTTGCATGCATCTCCTTCCCCACCGTTCATTGTCAGACTCACCTACAGCAGTCTAGAATTTTATCATCATTTTTCTTAATGACAAGAAACAAAAGAAATGCTCTTCAATTAACCTTTTCGTCGTTATGTGTGTAGTGAAAACGAGTAACTCAAAATGACGCGTCTTTTTACATACCTCGGCTTTATCCACGTTCTCATCAAGTCTTTGTCCACGTACGCCTTCCTGACCATTCAATAAACAGTTATGCAAAAAATTAATGGCCGTCTGAGCCAGGGTTGATAATGCTGGCTGAGAGTTATTATTATGTTGTTTCTTAGGACAACCCTTTAAACCATCCAATTCTTGCAGTACAATCCATGGTACGATGATAACGAGATTATTTAGTTTGGCGTGTTCATATATCAATGATTTGACAAAAGCCAGGTGAGAGAGAAGGAAATTCGTATCCACGACAATTATCGATTGAAATGAATGATTCGTAACCGGTGGTAGTGACTGAAATAATATACGTTTTGAGTTGACACCTTTATTACTTTGCTAATCTGCCGAGTGTGAAAAACCGCCGAAAAAACCCCAAAAAATAATTACAGCGCGTGATTATTGTGAAGAGGAACACCAACCTCAGCGGGAGGAACAAGGGAAGATTTGGCAGCGTCACGAAATTCTATAATTTGTGTGGTTATACTATTCAGCGTCCATTCGTCATCAATATCCATATAATCAACACAGTCAAGCGCCATTTTTTTCTACGCTTGTAATAAATATTCTTATTTGTTAGTAAAGATATCGATATAGAATTTACTTTCTCAAAAATACCATAATGCGCGTACAAAAACCCACTAGTGCAATTGCTCTATATGGTTATTGCAAATGCACCTCTTACCAAAAATCGTAGATTAACAAAAATAATATCTTGGAAACTGGTATTTTAATTTATTTTCGGAATTGGTTAATTTTTTTAGTAGAAACAAAATAATTTTTGCACATGATATTTCAAAAAGAGAGGGATTGAGGAGACTAATAAATAAAAGAATAATTTTTAAAAATCTAAACAAAAAATAAATAAATAAATTGATTGTCCTTTTTTTTCCTTAATACACAAAGAAGGAGGCATCAGTAGAATAAATAAGGGTAGTAAACTGGCAACTTAAATCTTTCTCAATAGATTCACGCAGCACCGCTCCATGTATTTTCATTTTCTCTTGACTCAGTCGTGGTAAATGAATCATAATCCAACGTAATTACTTGGTAAGAATGCCCAGATAGTACCAAAAGTGGCCAAACAAGAACACACCACAATGATCGCCCAATTCAAAAATTTTTCTCTCCGTGAAAGCTCACGACCATACAATCGCAAGTGACACAAACACGGGAATATCGCCGAAATGGTATAAGAGAAAAATGAGCCGAGGATACCCATCACACGATCAAATCCCGGGAACAAGATCGCGATGATGACGACAATAGTTGAGATGAGAATTCGCGTAAAGAACATTAAAGCTGTACGACGGCCTCGGCCTCGATATAACCAGTCTTCGACCCAGGGAATTGAATTGTAATAAATTTCGAGAGTGAGATTTATTGGGTTTAAGGTTAGTGCGTATTTTGCTATTGGGTTGAAGGCTACTAGCCAGATCACCATTTGATTGAGAATTCGATTATATCCGGGTGTTGACATGATGTTTTGTGTTATCTTACCAAAAAAAAAATGAAATCCAACAATTTAGAAACTAAACCGAATATTGATCTCGTTATTCATATTAAAATGAAAAGTAATATATACCTCTTGCATAGTAGTATTACCAAACATCAAATATCCACCAACTGCCATAGCAAAATACACTGTGGCTGTCATTGCATATGTCAGATTCACCATTCTTGGAAACTCTTTAGGATTTTCCATATCACGATAAACAGAAGGAAATACAGCATGTCCTATATAAAAAAACACCAATTATATTATTAATTAATAATTTATTGGATATATATATCCTCACAGATAAACACGTAAGATCATAGTTACCAGTGAACCCAGCCATAACTAGTCCGAAGCTCATTGGAAGTGTCGCCCATGATTCTGGTAGGAACTGGGTATCCATTGGATCGATCAAGCTGCCGGGTCTTTCAAATTTGGTGAGTCCGTCATAAATCAAGACTGATGCTAAAGCGACAGCTGAAAATATTCCGAGAAGAGAAAAATAGGAAAGATAACGAATGGCCATCAAGGTTAACGGTGTCATCACCATCCATGCGAGAATCTTTAATACTATCAATGATACATTCGGGAATATGGTATGCAATGAGTCACCGACTAATATTACTAACGCTGTTGCAGAAGCGATAAGCTCGAGAGAAAATAAAAATGAGATCAGAAGTCGAGCGCCTTCTCCGTACGCGATAGCACCTAATTATGAGTTAACGATTATTATCATCACCAAAATCATATAATGAATTAACCATAAATAAATTTTTCAAGTACCCATATCTGCATAAGTATGGAGTCCTTCATCATAGTCCAAACATTTTACTAGCAACTTTGCTGTATAATTAGTAACACAGAGACAAAACACGAAAAGTGATAATCCGATGCCCCAACCGGCAAACCGGAAACCCAAAGGTAAAGCGAGAATCCCAATGCCGATCAAAATATTACAAGAATTAAATATAGATTGACGGAATGTTGATCCAATATGAACGGGAATTCCGTGCATATCTTGTACCACCGATATTGGCACAGACGCTAGAGAACTCCTATTTAGGTATACATCATCAGTGTTACCGTTATAATTGAAACAAAGGATTCAAGATTATCTTTTTTTTTACTTTGTCAGAGTTCGAGTGAGTGGCAATGTCTCATCGATGAATTTGTGTCCAGAAGTATATGAAGGTGCTCTTGAATGCCGCCTAGGGCGTCGATCATTAAAATAAATAGACGCAGGGATCGAAGCACCCATAGGAGTTCCATATTCTGAATTTTGAGGACTTCCGCTTATCGGGGATAAGAATGAACCATAGAAACCGCGTGGAATGCTGATTGGAGGTGAACGTGCAGTGAAAGGTGGGTGTTGATTTTGTTCTCCACCGTCATGACTCTCAAGGTCATCGTTAGTAAATACTGATTCCCCGACAAATGAAGCAGGAACGGATATATTATCCGAAATATATGTGCTAAGAGATTTTTTTGCTCGTTAATATAGCATAATGGTGATCTTATTTTCAAGATTGAATCTATTTACCTGACGGTATGACCGTAATTCCCTGTCCAAGATTGTATTGCATTTCCGAAATTCGACAAACTTGAAGCGATAACGCTACTTCTCCCTGTACCTCTTCGCCGATGATGTAATGTATTATTGGTATTGCTTTGATGAGACGAAGGAATGTCCATGGGTGTCAAGAAGGCGTCGTCTTCTGTCGACATAATTTCTTCTTGGTATTGTTGAAAGGATTTTGGTTAAAAATTAACAATAAGGAAGAATCCCAACGAAATTGTTTTTTTTTTGTTAAAAAAATTCGATATTTTTTACCAAAACTATTTATTGGTATTTATTTAAAATGTTTAAAAGCGCGCACGCGTTGCTAAGACATATTTATTAATTTATCAAGGAGAAAAGAGTTTAATAATCATAGAGTTTTGTTAAAAAACAATATTATCAATCATATCTTCGTTGACGTCGTCAATTGATAAATAAAAATTTTAATATAGACATACATAAAAGATAGTCGCGAACTTTCTTCAATGTATCATATATTTTTTTCTGAAACAATCACAAATCCTATCTTTTGAAGTATATAAATACACAGTATACACTATCAAAGAAAGAGTTAAATAATATAAATTGCATTGCATATTTTCTACTTTATTGATTCCATTAACGCAAAATAAAGAATAGATAGCGAGTTGAACACAGACACATCAAAAATTATCGATGTCGCGCAAAGTACCTATTTATATCTATTTATGTCACCGAAAAGATTATATTTACGCCAAATACAAGAAATATCCAATTAATTCGAGGCAGGAGAAGAGCGTAGGGATTGGTTGAAATGTGCAATATGAATTAATTTTGGTAAAGTGCAATTATCTCAATCAAAAATAAAAAGCTGATATCGAGTCTGCATGACGTAATTCGGTTATCGCCATAAAAGCATAATGCAGCACCATATGATTGGTAGAATTTTGGAAATAGCTTTGATTCTTGTAACTTTATAAAATTTTCGAAACCATAGCGGATAGTAGTGATCCCACCATATTATCAGATGTGAGAGCATAATTTCAAAATTTGCAAAATTTTGCAAAATGATATTTCAAAAATCTTGGCATAGTGAACCAATCATATTGCGCTACAATGCTAATGTAATGTCGTATAACTGATTTTAGATAATGGAATTTGCGCTTGTTTGAATGCAAAGATACGTCAATGTTACGTCAGACATAAATTTTTAGGTAGCAATTATGGGAAGTATCTACTTTTTATTTCTCGTGTTAATTCAGAAATCTTGCCTTAAATCAGACATTGAAAGAATTCAATATACATATTTCGCAACTTTTTGTTTCTCGATATGAGAGTTTTTCCGGTGTTGAAATTAAGATTCCATGCTTCCACGTTTGGTAACATAGGGAAAATGACTTTTTTATTATATTAAATTATGCATGTTTTATATTTATAATGTATTAAAATGCTATATTAAATATTAAATAATAAATATAAGGGATAAAGAAAAAAAAAATACGGTTTAGAGTGCCTTTCTCGGTTCTAATTTGTATTATTTTTCTAGCTCTATGATGGTCAAAAGAATGCGTGTGTATTTGGTAGCTGTGGTGCGATCATGAATATTGTGTAGCTATTAAAAAGTTAAAATAACAAAATAAAATTACACATTGACTTTAGGTAAAGCCTACCAAAATTAATAGATATTGCCCAAAATCCCCAAAATAAAATTTTTTAGTTTTTTTAAAGAAAGTTATATACAAGAGACTCTTGTAACGTCAAAAATTCACCCTATTTTTTTTAATTGTTTTTTCGAAAGTTAATTTGCGCGACCAACGGTTTTTATGAAATATTATGGGGTTTTAGGGGTTTTATGAGATTTATTATGATGTTTGTTATGATGTTTGTTGTGTTTTCCTTTTCTGACTTTCTTTCCACCTTTCTTTCCACCATTTTTCTTTGATTTAGGCGATGTTGATATTTTCGTCGCTGTTGATGGTGATGATGCTGATGATACTGATACTGACTCTGATTCTGATGGTGATGATGCTGATGGTGACGATGTTGATGCTGATGATGCTGATGATGCTGATGATGCTGATGATACTGATGGAGTAGGAGTATTATTAGTGGTACTAGCAGAACCACCAGATCCACCAATATTTTGACCCAGATTAGCAGAAACATCTGAAGCGGAAGGACCGGATCCTTCGGCATTGCCAGAATTATCTGGATCGCCCGGTGGAGTCATAATTTGAGGGAATTGTGGTGGTAAGTTTGCTCGCGTAATATCAATGATTGGTAATGGTTTTGTTGAATTGCCAACAAGTTTAATATCAGCACAATTTTGATAAAATTCACGATTTCCGACGGCATTTATCCATGACCAAGAGAAGATACATTTTCCGGGATTATCGCATGATGGAGCATTTTCTGGAATTTTTACTTTCCAATCAAAGAAGATATCTGGGCAAGTCTCATGATACGTACCAATAACGGTGTAAGTTACACCACCGTCATAAGATAAAGCGAATTCACAAAGACCACCATTATGTCTTGCTTGGTTAGCACCTGCATCACCTGGTTGTGGACCATTAGGAAACTGCGAATTCCAGAATTTCACACTGACGATATCACCAGCATGGAAAACTTGGGTGATTTGGGTGTCCATTGGATAACCACCACATGGGAAGGTCTTCCCGCTACAGACCGCTCCTGGGTTTAATGGTGCAGTTATACAGTTGTAATCTTTTACGGCAGCATTAGGATTCTGTGGATGTCCTCGTGGAGCTGGAAAAACCATTGACGAATGCGCTGACACAGCAGCGACACATGATGTGAGTATTCCGAATGTTGAAAAGAACTTCATTTGTAATTTTAAATTTATTTTCGACGCTTGGAAGAAAATATTAAAATCTAATGTATTCTAATAATGAATGCAAATAATATGCCCGTCCGGGGGAATAAATACTTGCTAAGAAAAAAAAGGATTGACGAAAAAATGGGAAAATAGTAGGTGAAAGTAGTCGCTTTTTGGTAAACCTGACCTTATTGTTGAAGAATCAAGCGACAGTACTCGATATTTATACAAATAATTCTCTTGTATTTCTTATTTCCCAGATTGGGAATCATTTAAAAAGTACCAATTATATCAAATATTTATATTTGATAATAAAGCCATTAGCCAACTAAAGTCTAGTTTTTTATTAAAACTTACACGCATTTGTTTAATTCACAAATTAAGTAAAAATTCATTTTAATTTTTCTCCAATATGCATAATTATTATTATATACACTCTTATGTACCGGCACATTTAAATCGGCCAAATCCCCAAGGGTATTATTTCGGCCAAGATTTTTAAACCAATCAACGCAAAGCGTATTATTCCTTTTCAACCAATCAATACACTCAAATATAATAAGCCACAATTCGGGCCAATCGTTCGGTTTACAGAATAACTGATTCGGACGAATTTATTTTATATATTGCCGGGAAGTAACATCATCTTTTGTATATTGTCGGACAAAGGCGAATTTAACAAACGGAGAAAACAAGAATCACGTAATTAATTTTTCGTTCTTTTTGATTGGAATTTACATATTAATGTTTATTCGTGCTTCAATAATTCATTGATAACTTAATTTTGTTGAATCTAAACAAATTTAAAGAGATTTCAATCGACATATCAGATGCTGACAGATTAACACACGTATAATATGCATACAAATCGATAAGCTGAATTAAATTAATATACGTTACTCGAAGTCCCTGCATAAGTTTTAGACTTTTACGATTTAAAGTAATTGGAATATTCAAATTCACGTTTTCGTATCCATAACAAAAATAGGCGAACTGAGTCATGAACAGAGGTGGAACGTGACTCAACAGACAAATCAAATTGCTTTTACGCGTAAAACAGTTTCGTTATTTGTTGTGAAAGTTTAATTACTCTCTTTGCGACTTTACATGTATAGGCGTAAACCAATGTCAACATCAAAACAACATCCTGATATTTAAAAAGAATAATTTTATATTCAGAAGTGTAATGTATTTTTAATTTATCAAAACACGGGCATTTCGATTTGCGCAAACAAAAACTGAAATTATATTCAAATTATCATGATTTTTAAACTTAGGGTTTAGTTATTAATTTGACATGTACAGAACCCAAAAAGTAACGCCCGGTTTATAATTATATAGTATAAAGATCTTATAATTAAAACAGTTTTGAATGATCTAAAATTTAAAAATACTCGAAATAAGAAATGTAAATTTTCTATTTTTTATATACAAATTTTTTTCATATGTAAAAAGTAAAGAAAAATTTTAGTTTTAAATTAAAACAGGTTCTTGCATTTTAAATCTTCTACAAGTAGGCATTATTTTTAAAAATGCAATTGATTCGCTTTGAAATGATATAAAGTTTATAAATAAACTAAAAGAAATACTCAATATTTTTAATAAATATATTATTGATCTAACTTTTAATATTTTTTTTAATTTATTATGTTTTTATTTATTAAGAATGAATCAAGACTTTTTATAAAACAAAAAACAGAAGAATTTTTAAAAATATTTTGAGCGTTATTTCTATAGTTTAATAATATTAAAAATTTATATTAAGAAAGTGTATATATCAAAATTTCTAAAATTAAATTAATTACTATAAAGAGACTAAAAATATTATAATTAATAAATTAATGGAAAATTTTGTTATTATTTATATTTTTCAAGTTTTTATTCAGTATACAGTGACGACCAAAAGTAATGACTCAGGGGCTAAATTTACTAATAAAACATAGTGAAAATTGAAAGTTTCTCTCTATATTAAAATTTATAATTTTAATAAGAAATAATTTTTATTTTTATATTAAAATAAAGTTTAGCAATTGTATTTTAACATATATTTTTTTAGATTTTTTAGATTTTTTCTGAAAGAGTTGTTCTAATTGTAAAGTTAATGCAAAAATTTTTACTAATTAAAAATGAA